CTGGTCGGGGGGAGGCCGGAGGGGAGCTGAGGCCCTCCTCCCGAAGGCCCTCCTGCTGCGTTGCCATCTGCACTGACGGCTCTGCCCTGGCCCCCTTCCTCCCCAGGCATGGAGAGTGCAATCACCCTGTGGCAGTTCCTGTTACAGTTGCTGCTGGACCAGAAACATGAGCACCTGATCTGCTGGACGTCCAACGATGGTGAATTCAAGCTCCTCAAAGCAGAAGAAGTGGCCAAACTGTGGGGACTCCGAAAAAACAAAACGAACATGAACTACGATAAGCTGAGCAGAGCCCTGCGATACTATTACGACAAGGTAAACCCCTGCCTGCCTTCCAGGCAGCCGTTGGGGCCAGTGGAGCACCACCTGCACAGTTCGTTCGGACAGCAGGTCACAGTGTTACCGTGAAGCGAATTCGAAAATCCAATAGAGGCTGTTTATGCAGAGAGGTTTTTTTTGTTGTTTCCTGGAAGCCCTTTGGGTGTTACTCTGGGTCCAGTTTTCTTCCCTCTGCCTTTTCCTCTGTAGTTGCTGCAGAACTTTGCCAACCACAGAAATTAGCTGTAGGGAGGTTCTGGGGCTTGCCTCGTGGTTAGTTGCTTGAGTGACAGAAGGAATGTGAAAATCTAGAAAGTCTTTTGATCCCATCTGGTTTGTAGTTCCCTCAAACGGGCCTTCCCTGGGGAGTGGTAGCTTGGGTAAGTTATGTGACGATTGAGTGCCTCAGTGTCCTCGTTTCTCAAATGGGGCTCACGATGGTATCATCTTGGGGGTGTTGGGAAGACGAAACGAGCTGTTACCTGTTAAGCACTAAGAACAATGCCTGGTACCTGGGGTTTCCTACTCTGTGGGAAACTTCCCTAATTAAAAAAAAAAAACCGTTTTCCTTTTTAAGTCGCAGAGATGAGTCAGAGGGCTTTGTGAAGTGGTAACACAGCATAGTTGCCAAAGCCAGGACAGTGGGATGAATTTTAATGCATTTCTGGAAAAGCAGTTCCTGTGCCTCCTAGGGCAAAATTATTGCCATTTAGGGGTAATTGTTTCAGGCCTGTGATTATTGACCATTTCTGTGTGGATCTGTTGTTGCTGAATCTTTAGCCTCATAGACATAAAAACTTATAGTCCTAATGAGGGTAAGCTTCTGTTCTGGTTTTACTGCTCATATTGAAAGGTGAATTAAACACTGATTTAAATATTAGTTCCTGATCTGTATTTAAGTGCCTTCCTTCTGCCAACCTCTTTGGAATTCGAGACAGAAGGATTACACATTTCAGGAAGTGGTGGCATCATTAATTATAAAGTGTTCCTTTATATGATCGTAATTGTGTATGATTATGTCATTGAAATGTTAAAGGTGCTTTCCTTTAATGTAGCAATTAATTAATCCTGGCTTAATGCAGAGTGCTGCGAAGATGTAAAAGCACTTCTTGCAAATTGCACTGTCTGATGCTGCCTCGCAGATGGTTTATTGTTTTGCGTTTTCCCCAGGTTGTAAGTTACACAATGGGAATTGGAGCCCTCTGAAGGAAAACAGTCATCTTGCCTGCTGGCAGGGTACCTAAAAGCATGGCTTTGAGACAAAAAGAAAAAAATTTCATTGTTTTAAATCAAGGTATCAGAGAAAAAGAGTCCTGCCTCCGTGTCTGTGACTTGGTTTTCCCTCTTCATGGGGCCTGGGTGTTGGAGTTGACTGTGTGTCCTCAGCCCAAAGGGAGGTTGTGGGCTGGACACACTCCTCAAAAGACTGGCAAAGCCATCGCTGCTCAGACCACACCTGGTCCCCTGTGAGCGGATTTTTCAAATCTCTAGGGAAAGAGTTTCAGAGCCTGCAGTCACCCAGCACGTTTGGAACTTTCTGGGTCTGCCGAACACTTCCTACCCTCCTTTAAACCACAACAGCCCCATGAGACAGTCCTGCTGGCCCCTCCTCCTTTGTCAGATGAGGACGTGGGCGCTTTGTTGAAAAACCTGCCCAGCTCTTGCAGCCAGGAAGCCACAGAGCCAGGCTGCCTAGTTCCTGGCCCAAAGGCACACACCCTCCCTTCTGGGCTGTTCGTTTCCTTTGCCTCTGAACACCTGAGTTCCAGGTAGGCAATCAGGCAGCTGAACGCTTGAGTTCCAGGTAGGCATTCAGCCAGCACAAAGGGATTGCAACCTTAGAAATTTTTGTTTATTATCAAGTGCTTCAGTACTAAAAAATCTGGTGTATGCTGGGTGTCAGGTTGAGCCCAAGGCCAAAGGTGCGAGTGGCCAGTGTGGCCTGCTCACTGTGGTTGTTGTCCTTTCCCTCTCTTGCTGAGGCTGAGCTTGAGGTCTGGCCATGTCACCTTGACGAGCCAGCTGGCACTAACAGGGCAGGAGCAGCTCTTGTCCAGTGTCTCCTGCAGGCTTCGCCACCAGAAGATGCCCTACGTACGTCCTTTGACTTGTGTCCATCACACCCATGCACGTCCACACAATACATGTATGTGCTTAGACATTATACATGTGTGTATACACAGTACACGTGCATGTACACACGGCCATTTGAATCTTTCTCATGAAATGTCCTCAAGTGGTGAGTAAGAGTGACCGTTAGACTCCTAATGTAATTTTAAGTGAAAAGAAGAGGGGAGATGAGGATGAAGCAGAAGACAGAGGAGTTGGAGGGCAAGAGGGGGATGGGGAGGGGAGGGAGAGACAGGGAGGAAGAGGAAGAGACGTGGCAAAAGAAGGTTACAAAAATTATACCATGTTTTACGTTTTACGATGAACGCTTCTTTCACTTTGGCCAGTGTTACTATGTGATCAGATGTATAAAGTGAACCATTGCTCAAGTTGAACATGAAAGTATCAGGGTAAGCCCACTGATACTTACCCAGAGCCTGCTCTGCCTGGGGGGCATAAATTAGGTGCCTCCCCACCTGGACAGCTGTGTTCTTCTTTCCTGTTGTCTTTTCTGTCCCTTACTAGCTTTCATCTCTTCACTCTTGGCTGAAACCACACATCCCTTGGTTTGTCCTAATAGGGAAGTTTTCCTGCCAGATTGGACAAGCATGAGAATACCATTATTTTTATAAGTTATATGTTATATTTTTAGCTCATTCCAGAATCTTGGAAATGGGCAGAGAAAAAAAAGTGGAAAATGTGTATAAAACTTTGCAGAAGGCGTCAGAGGAGAGGAACGTACAGGCTAATGGTGTCAGCTTGGGGCTGAGGCACTTGAATCACTGTTCCTCCAAAAATGCCCCCCCCCCCGCTGAATCACCCCATTATTATAGTGAGGTGGTTAATAGCGTGAACCGCAGGGTGAATCGTCCAGGCTTGAATCCAGCTCTGTGACTGTGGGTGCTTTGCCTAATCTCTCTGGGTCTCACATTCCTTTTCTGTAAAATGGGTACAATAGCAGAGTCCACACCGTGGGGTTGTGGTGGGGATTGGTTGAATTAACCCATGATCAGTACTGAGAACAGTGCCCCCAAACACCTTAGGTGCTACAGAGTATTAGCCAGAGTAGTAACACAGATGATATTTTCATTATCGCTAATTAAAAGTGTTCAGACAGGTGCAAAGGAGGAAATTAGGCCGTTTGTGCTGCCTTCCTGCACAAGCCCACGCAGAGGCGGAACAGCTCTTTTCACCTCTGAGCTCTCAGGAGCACATTGTCATGCTGTCTAAGGACTAAAGGAGGACAACTGCAATTTCTTTACCGTGTTCCGTATTTTTCTTTATTTAGACTGTTCTGAAAGTTGAACTACTAAGATGCTTTAATATTTAAATGCCTCTTCCTTGCCCCTCTGAATCAAAGCACACACTTCTCTGTGCATCCCCGGCTGGAGCCAGCCTCTTCCTTTCCCAGGCCCCATTTCATCTAGCTGGCTTCCTCATAAAATTGTCTTCCCCGTGGTCTCCTGGCTCCTGCCCCCCACCCCCACCCCCCACCTTTTGTTGCTCTGGTACCTTGCACAGGATCGGACACACATTAGTTGCTCAGTAAATGCGAAATGAATGAGCAAATGGCTAACATAAGAAAGCGGATGCTCCCCAAACACCAATCACTAATATAAAAATTGGACATTAAATGCTAAACTTAACCAAAAAGGCACTGTCTTTTGCTTCTGGTACTGTAGTAGTTTCCTAGGGCTGTTGGAACAGATAACCACAAAGTGGGTGGCTTCGAACAGCAGGCAGTTATTCTCACAGTTCAGGAGGCCAGAAGTTTGAAATCCAGTATCAGCGGGGCCAGGCTCCCTCTGAGAGTCTGGGTAGATTTCTTCCTGGCCTCTTCCTATCTTCTGGTGGTAGCCATCAATCCTTGGTGTTCTTGGCTTATGGCTGCATCACTCTAGCCTCTGCCTCTGTCATCACCCAGTGTTCTCCCTGTGTGTCTGTGTCCAAGTTTCCCTGTTATTAGGTCACCAGGTCTATTGGATTGGGGACCATCTTAATGACCCTATCTTAAATAGGTTATATCTGAAAAGACCCTGCTCCCAAATAAGGTCACGTTCACAGGTGCTGGGGGTTAGGACTTCAACATTCCTTATGGGTGTCATACTTCCACCCATAACACGGACACGTATTTCAGACAGTGCTGGTCTTTCGTGTGGAATTTTGAATTTTCATTTATAATTTTCAAAATTACAAAGGGAGAGCCTTGGAGGTGATGGTTTGATTCCAACAAATCCTAAAGGAAAACTGTTCCCGGTGACATGCATGGCAACTGGCTTCAACAGCAGGTATGAAACCTGATTGTATGACAGGCATGCCAGGGTGTGGCCACCATGTGCCAGGCACTGCACTGGGTCCCCAAGGTGGGAGCAAAGGTGAGGAAGAGGAGACCTGCCTTGGAGGGATTCAGAGTCTTTGGGAATTCAGCAGTTCCCTGTGCCGGAAGAGCAGACGATTTTAATGAATGACTTAGATGGGAAGAAAAGCCACCCTGATGCCTCCGATGCTGGATTAGCAATGGCTGAGGTTCCCTACTCCACCTGCGTTTCTGTGCATCCCCATTTCAAACACCTGAGGGAAGGCTGGAGGGTCTGGGTTTTGCGACCCAGCACTGCCAACGACCTGCTTCCCCGCTTACAGCTTTGGAGAAGGCTGCTGGGCAAACTCAGTCAGAATCCCAAGAAAGGACAGATGCCCAGTCCAGGGTGGGGCACGTTTTATTCCCCAGGCTTGGACTGAAGCCCCTGTTCCGCTTGGAAATGTGCAGGCAGTGGGAGGATGCCTGTGTTTGGGCCCGTGAGGGCACAAACCGGAGCTGACAGAGACCTGGCTCCTGCCTGGGCGCTCCACAGTCACCCCCCACCAAACAGCCCGTTCTCCTCAGTCTCGCTGTAAGCCTGTGGAGGTGGGTTTGTTCATTATAGTCCTGATGGTTTGAATTTTGGGGTAGGGTTTCTTTTTTTCCCTTAGATTTAAACTGAGACTTCCAGAAGGTTCTTTATAACCTGATGTAATAATAAAGATCTCTTTCAGGGATTTTATTTATTAGCAAGTTTAACAACTGTTTTTCACTCTTTAATGTCAGACAGACTTGGTTTTAAGTCTTTCATCTTAGGGTGGAGAAGCGAGGGGTCTGTGCCCAGAGCGTGCCTGTAACTGGCCTCAGGATCTGCCCACACATGGGCCCAAGTCTGAAGGGCTTGAGGAATGGCTGGGATTGACAGCATATATTCATGTCTTGAGTAAGTTCTGGGTGGGGTTCAGGTATACATCCATCTCCAGAGGACATGCCCGGTTCTTCACCTCTGCCTTTTCTCCTGTCGTTCAGCCATTCCTTTGAAAACATACTCCGTCCCCTTGAGTGGCTCAGCAGCTGGTCGGGGAGACAGACATGCAAACCAACTGGAATAGAGCATGTTGTGTAAAGTGCTAGCTTGGCCATGCTACCAGTATCTCCCAGGAAAGAGAGGGAGGGAAGGAAAGGTGGAGAGAAGGCCACCAGAGCTCAGGGCACCTGACCTGGGTCCAGAGGAGTGAGAAGGAGTTTACCAAGCTGAAAACAGGGAAAGGGTGTACTAGGAAAGGGAACAGCATGTGCCAACGCAGGGAGATGTGAAAGAGTTTGACTTTTTCAAGCACGGAGTATTTATTTAGGGAATGGGGGAGAGATGAGGTTGGAAGAGTGAGGGAGGAATGGAACATGGGGTGTATCATGCCTAAGAGTTGGAACTTTAATGTGAGGGCAACGGAGAGCTCATGAAGGAGTGTAAGGTAGAGAGTGCCAGGATCAGATTTGCATTTGAGAAGTGAAATCTTTGTCTCTTCTTACTCTTCCTGGCGTTGACCGTGTCACAGTCTGACACCACAGCTGTGATATTTTTGGCCAGTTACCACCCATCGATTTCTCTCTGCTGGCTGAGTTAGCGCTGTCACTGCCTCAGATCAGGGCCTGCATGCCCCTCTCTAGAACTGCCCGGGTGGGGGACGGGGAGGAGGAAGATGGTGGAGTCTGCCACTTGCATACACAGGGCAACTGTCTTCTGCTCATGGGAAGCCGAAGCCATAGACTGGGTTGCTGCAGAAGGAGATGTGGAAGCTTACACAATCCCTCATCCTTTTCCATCCAGCAGAGCTTTTGTCCTTGTTGTTGTTGGCGGTGAGCATTCATCCTGGGGGGAGGCTGAATGCTCTGCCAGCTCCCTTCTCATCAGGAGATTGAAAGGGTGATATGATGAAAAATCCTCCCGTCTCCACAGCAACATCCCAGCTTATCCTCACAATGTACTGAACAGTCTTTACTTAATTGGAAGGGGTTTAGGGGAGACAGGCAAGACAGAGTCATTGGCAATATATTCCTGGAAGTTGAATGCATCACCTTCTTAATTTAATTGGATAATTCATTTTAAATTGGGTGTGCAATCACGACAGGAAAATGTTCGTATTAATAATACATATCTGAGATCGACTGCCTGTGCCAAGAAGCCTGGCCCTGGTGGAATTCTTTAATTCTCCAAAATAAATTTTGCGGAGGTAAAATGAGGTGTCCTCTGTCCAAGTGTAGAAAGAACAAAAGTCCAGCAAGCATTTGTAACCTGGAACTTTCTAGAACACCTTGGTTGGTTGCAGACTTCCACAGAAGACCTGTGTATCCTGGACTCCTTTTGGGGGTGTTTTGTGTATCAAAGATGCCCTCTGTGCCCAGCCCTGGGTCTGAGTGTTAAGGGCCTGGCGTGTTTTGTTAGTGTCTCTTTTTTTCCTTTGTGGCCTGTCAGCTGCTCAGATGGTTTGAAGAATAACAGATGGTAACTGGGCTTTGCCTGGGGGCCGAAAGGATAACCGGGGCCTCTCTGCAAGCTTTTGGTTCTGGAAGCTGCCTAGAGACCTGTAGGGTAGCTGATTGCCTCCTGGAGGTCTTCCAGTCTGGTCACATTGCCCTGGGAGATGGCAGCTGGCATGAAGGAGCCGGGCTGCAGGGGGCACACTGCGTGTTGATTGGGGGTGCTGCTTGTCTTGCACATGTTTCCAAGCCAGCTTCCCTGTGGCACTCAGTGTTCCCCCAAATAGGGCAGTTGCTAAGAAACACCGGAGTCTTGGGAGTACTTTCAACACTGTGTTGATGAGGCTGCTGTGCTCGGCGCTCAGCTGCCAAGGCTCCGGCAGCCTGGCCAATTCCGCTGACGTCAGGCTGTTGCCCAAGCCGACACCGGTTTGCCGGCATGAGCGTTCCTGCTTCTGGCTGCAGGAAAATTGAGTGGTTGTGTAGACAAACTGACAAAACCCCGAACATTCCCATCATACCACCCACCGCCTACCATCCACCCACCGGCCCAGCTGCTCCTCTGTGGGGCCTCCTCCCCACCTCCTGCCTGGGCTCCAACAACAGTTTATCTCAGTTTCTACCCCAAATTTGTGACATAAGGAGGGGAAGCTCACATGTATGGAGCGTTTGGATTAAGCCAGGCACTGTGCTAGATATTTTTACAGTTACCAACTCGTTTCCTAACATGTGAAACGCCTCTCGTCGCAGTCAGTAATGGGCCCATTTTAGAGGTGAAGATACTGAGTCTGAGAGAGGTCAAGGAACAGATCCAAGACAAAGCAGCTGGTAAGCAGCAGAGCTCTCCGCCTAGGAGTCTTGAGCCTGAGGTCTGTGCTCAGGATTATGAAGCGGGAAGATCACACGGTTGCAGAGCTCTGGGTCCACCTTGAAACTGTATTCCTGATATTGCTGGTTATCACCCCAGGGCAGCAGAGAGAGGAGACCAGCCCCCAACATTTCTCGCTCCAACTGACGATGGGAAACCTGCTGGCAGCCTTCTCTGAGCCGGCTGAAAATGCAAGGTGGTGGTTCTGGAGGCCCCAGGACACCCTACACTGTGGGTCCAGATGACGGTTCCTAAGGAAAGCCAGATCGGAGCACCGCCCCCCTCTGCCTGTGCAGCCCCAGCTCCCTGCGGCCTCCAGGAGAGACGGCAAACTCCCTTCACCATCTGGCCCCAAGCTGACCACCTCCCCTGCACCACCAACCACTGTCCCCTGCAACCCCGACTCAGCATCTTCTCAGACCTCCTTGTTGCCTGGCTCTGCCTCTGCCTTTCCTGCCTGGCCATCCGGCTCGTCCTCAGACTCCTCGGCTTCACCTCCTCCGGCCGCCGCCCACACTGGTGTTCCTTCTCCGCTCTGCTTTCCTGCTGTCCTTGTGCTTGCCTCACTGACCGGGGCCTGTCGTCCTCACCACTCCCAGCATCTCTGCAGCACGGGGGCGCAGTGCTGCCGATGCACGTAGGATGGAGGAAGGACCAACGAGCATGGCGACAAACACACGTGCTTCTCTCTGGTATAGAAGGAAGGCCGTCATCTTGGAATGTCAGCACTGGAAAGGACGTAACAGACCATCTGCCCTGCCCGCCCCTCCTTTAGCAGGAGAGGGGTGGTGAATTTTCAAGAAAATTGGTGACAAAGCCAGGATGAGAACATGCTCCCAGACTCCTGTGGCTCCCACTCCTGGTGCCATCTGCCAGCGCTGGAGGTGGCCGCTGAAAGTGAGAAGGTCATTGTTAGCAGCTCTCCCCCACAGGCAGGGGACACGGGGAGACGTGTGCTGGGGGAGCAGTTTTACATTTTATTAACACTCGGGAGGCCTTTAATAAAAATACTCTTGAGTGTTGAAAGCCACGGGGGAGCCAAGGCTCCAGGTCCAGCCGCATCGGTGAGCCCAGAGCGGGTGGGAGAGCGCTTGCTCGGTCCCTCTGAGGCTCCGCCAGGCCAGGGGCCCCTCAGCTGCAGTGCCCTCAGGGTAGCACCGGTACCTGGGCAGAGATGGTGCACACTGCCACTTAGCAGTGCCAGAGAATAAAGAAATCTCAGCCCAAACCACAAGGAAACTTCCCCCGGGAGTCAGCCAATTCCGAGATGGAGTTGGAGCCCTTTATTGGCAGCACGTTATTCTTAGAAGTTGAAAGTGGGGTGTGGGGGGGGGTGTGTGCGTGTGCGAGTACGCACGCTCCAAGCTTAAGCTTTAGATGGAGGACAGCTCTGGCTTCATCTGACTCAGGGCCTACGGCAAGGTGACAGCGTGAGGCAGGCTGAGCACTCAGGAAGGGCCAGATCTCCCCCTACCTCCCCTCACTGGAAAGAAGCTTTAGGAAAGAGGTGGAGGTTTCCTAGGGCCGCTGTAAAACATTCCCACCAACAGCATGGCTCAAAACAACAGAAATTTATTCTCTCACTGTTCTGGAGGCTGGAAGTCTGAAATCAAGGTGTCAGCAGGGCCCCGCTCCCTCTGAAGGCTCCAGGGAAAATCCTTCCTTGCCGCTTCCAGCATCTCTTGGCTCCTGGCAATCCTTGGCGTTCCTTGGCTTGTAGCTGCATCACTCCAGTCTCTGCGTCTGTCTTTACATGGCCTTCTTCTCTGTTGTCTCTCTGTGTCCTTTCCTCTTATAAGGACACCAGTCAGTGAATTCAGCGCCCACCCTAACTCCAGGATGATTCCATCTCGACATCCTTAACTGATGATGTATGCAAAGATACTATTTCTAAATAAGGTCACATTCTGAGGTTCTGGGTGGACATGAATTTGGGGGGGCACCATTCAGCTCCCTACGAGGGGATGGGCTGCCCCAGCGAGAAGTAGCTCGGGTTGATGGGTCGAAGGAGCCCTTTCATAGCTGTTCTATATGATGGCAGGTGTGAGGGGAGCCTGCCCACAGCAAATTCATAGCAGAGCCCAGCACGGCCAGGCGACTGCTCAGCCTCTGCTCTCCCGGGTTCAGAAGGCAGGGAATGAGAGGGGGCAGGGTCTGCTGCTGCCCGTCCGAGCAGAAGGCAGACGACAGAGGCCAGAGGCCAGATTCACTTCCTTTGCTGTTCCTCAGAGCCTAGCAAGGAGCCTTCCCTAGGAACGCGTCTGCAATGTTTGTTGAGAGACTGTTTCTTGGAAGAGGAGGAACTTGAGCATGACTCCTACAGTGAGTACTTGTTCTAACTCTGGAGAGAGGACAGTTGAGTTTTGTGTCAGGAAAGAGTGAGTCAGACCGTGGTCTGAACGGGAACCCAAAACAAGGAGCTGAAGAAAGGGTGTTGGCCAGGGCGCCGGCGGCCCAGAGACATGCTCTGCTCCTTACTAGCTTGTGATCGTGGCTCGGAGCCTTGGGTCCCTCCTCTCTCAAATGGGGATCAGAGTGTGTGAGGCTTCCACGAGATAACATGTAAGCCTTCTGTAAACGGTAAAGTGAGGGACCCATATAAGGAATTTTGATTGCTTGAAGGCAGAATAAAATGAAAAGGCACTGTCATCTAACAAGGAGGCTGTAGTTACTCATTGCTTGCTAAGCGGAATTCCACGAGGTAGGTGGTCATGTTCTGAAGACCTGTGTCAGCGAGGCACTGACATACATTGGTCTTTTAGAATAAACTGCCCCGTGAGGTATTTTTATTCCCTTTAGAGGGGAGCACACTGAGGCCTACAGAAGTTCCACACCTTCCCCAAGGTGTTGATAAGTAGAGAAGCTGGGATTCGAACCCAGGTCAGTTCACCCCCTTGCCGGTTCTGCCCATCACAGCTCTTGGCGTGTGCCCTCATGTGGGATGCTTGGAGGAGCTGGGCACCCCTCCCCCTGCTCGCTACAAGCACTTCTGCACACTGGGGGCCAAATCAGGCTGTGTGTGGACATTCGCTGCCTGTTGTCGTCCTGTCACCCTTGTCTCTTGGACATCACCCACTTAGAGGTGGGCTTCCGATGTCTAGTCTGCTGTGGTGGGACCGCCAGGTCCCTGGTGCCTCCTGCAAGGTCTCCCATCAAGGCAGGCACGTCTTCTACCCTCTGGTGGGCAGAGGCAGTTCAAGAAGAGTCCTCAGGGAGAGCCAGCCTTCCCCGTGAGGAGCTGCAGATAACCATTTCTGAGCAAGGACCGTGCTTCCTTAGCACAAAGCTGGGTTTCCCAGGCGCTCCACAGCCACCCCACAATTACTCTGGAATGCAGAACCCGCGGTCCTGACGGCTTGACGGAGCAGCAGCCTCTGAGCCAACAGCAGCTGCTTTCTGGGCAAGGGTGCCATGGTGGGACAGAAAAGGCTTCCTCTTGGCTCTGGATACAAATGGGTTCACACTTCAGCTCCACCGGTCACAAGCTGTGTGATCTTAGGCTAGTAAGCTTTTTAGAGCCAGCTTCTTTTAAAACAGAAGGAAACAAAACAAAACTTCATTGACAAGTAATACATATTAAATACAGGTTATTTTTTTAAATGTGAAAATTCAGATAAGCAAAAAGAAATATTACAAGTCACTGGTAATTCTTCCACTGTTAAATTTTATTATAGATCTTTCAAGATTAGTCTATCTTTTTCTTTGATATATATAATTATTTCGTTAAAATAATGGAATCATCTCATGCGTGCTGCTTTTTTCACTCAATGTATATTTAAAGACGTGGGGAAATGTTAACAACGTATTATCCTCTAAAATAGCTACATGGTATCCCAGTGTAAGGCCCTCCCAGTATTTAACCCACCTCTATGGTGTGGGAAATTGGGTATAATCTCACTGGCCCACCAAGAGCCTCAACTTCTTCATCTTTAAAATGGGATCACAGGGGCCATCTTGCACAGTGGCTGTGCGTGTACAGCACGTGGTGGGCCCTCATACGTGCTTGCTTCTCTCCTTTGCCCTTTCTGGCCACTGGCTCCTTTCACAGTGAGATGAACGTCCCATCCCACTTCTCCTGCCCCAGGATCTCAGTGGCAGGAGCCCCAGGCCAGCAGCCCTCCTCGTACCCACCCCCCCACCCCGCTCCCTCCCCCCACCCCCAGCCACGGTCCATCCACAGCAGACCCTGTGGAGCTGGGCTGCTCCCTCCTGTCTGGGCAGCGCATTTCCTGCTCTGAGAGACACTGGAGAACAGTGGGGATCAGCTGGGGTGTCTGGTTAGTGTCCACACCACTCGTCGGGCTGGACGTGCAGGGTCCCTGCTGAAGCTGCTGTGGCCTTCTAAGCGGGACCCTCGGATTCCACAGTCCTTTGCATCTGCTGCCCCCCGAGGGCCGGCCCCCTCTCCTCCCCCAACCCCTGACTTAATTGGAGTGTGTGAGGTTTTCTTCACAGTGGATGTCAATGCTGGCCACGCTAGGCATGATATCCTGTAAGCCTTCAGTCTCTTTCTTGTCTGAACCTAACTAAATAAAACATGATGTTGCCCCTGCTTGGTCGAGCTGTGTAAACCAGATGTCATTCTGTCTGCCATGTGACTCAACTCTTTACCCAGAACTGTGGATAAAGCAAGTGGGACACACATAGCCTTCTAAGAGGTTTATTTTGACTCTGCAGTTGTCATTAGAGCTGTTAAGAGATGTTTTCTTTTGTTTTTGCTTAAACGGGAGTGCGAAAATAATGATAATACCAAGAGCTAGTGTATCTTGCAGGCTCATCATGTGTGGCTGTACCGGGCGTTCTGCTGTAAGCTTTATATGGGTTGTCTCATTCAGTCCCATGAGGCGAGCGGTACATCAGTCCCTATTTTATGGATGAGGAAGCTAAGGCACCTGCCTGGGAAGAGGTGGGGGTGGCATTTGAACTCAGGCAGTGACTCTGGAACTGCTCCTTGTAATCCCAGTGGCAGTCCTTGTGACGGGGTCAAGTGGGTATTTACGGAAAGATCCCCCGCTCTGTGCTCTGGTCCAGCCCTGCTCCAGGGCTGGGTTCAGAAAAGGCTGGGCTGCCTGTTAGCAAGAATCTTCTGTACAAGCTTGCCTGCTTGCTTCCTGAGCTGCTGACATTTCACAGTTTTGAGAACAAGATAGGAAAGTTGCAGAATCAGAGGGCAGGAGTCCTCTAGTTCCTGGGAGCCCTCAAATGGTGGAGAATTTAGGGGTAGCTGTACTGATGCAGAACCCACAGCTGCTCCGGTCCTCCTGGGGCTGGGAGCAGCCCCTGGGAAGGGGAGCCCTGGAGAGGAGTGAGAGCTGGCATGAGAAGTCTGAGCACGGAAAGTCCAATGCGCGATCTTAGATCTAGATTGGGGTGCCGGGCCAGAGCCGACACATGCGACAGATCTTTGCCCAGTACATAGATAAGTGAAGTTACATTTTATTAAGCTCTCACAGGAGGTGTGAGGTTGTAGGGGTTTGCTTGGCCTCCTGTGTCTGTCTGGGAGTTTTCAGTTTAAAAATGCAGCAGAAAAGCACACGCAGGTGTACGTATGGGATGCAGTCACACGGAATTTTAACCAGCCTGGGGATTAGCCACAGAAAACCGCGTCTCTCATGGGGAGAAGCCTCTGGCTTCCTGCCTGGCCCAGTTCTCTCCAGTGAGAGTCATTCATTCAACAAGCATGTAGTTAACTTAATATTATCCTTAATAACATCAAAATTAAGAAGATCAATTCAATTCCACAAGCATCTCTTCATCACCTAGCACTATATATAATTTCTTTTAAAAATCACAATAGTTAATAGACATATGTCTAATTTATCCACTATCTGGGATTATTTACACAGGCTCCTTCTTCCTCTTCAGTGGGAGGAGAAGGCGGAATTGAGTGTGTGTACATATTTAAACACACCCACGGACACTCCTAGTTTTCTAAGGAAGCGTGGAACCTGTCAGAGCTGCAGACAGCACTGAGGGGCTGGAAACATGACCTGCTCTCAGGGATTTCCAGCCCGTTAGGGTGGAATAACTGAGGGAGGCTCTCACGGGATCCCTCTGTCACCAGAGGTAGCTGCTGAGTCGGGCAGGATTCCTTTGCACAAGTCAGCTATAGTCCTGTCCCAGACAGACAGCTTGCCCCTTGGGCTCCTGCATTCTCAACACTCCAATTTGCCAGTGGTGATGGCGAGAGTAGTTTGGGAGCTGAGCTTCCACTTTCGCCTGGAACTGCCGCTTAGGGTATGTTAGGTGGATGTTGCTTTCCCCCTCGCTGAAGCTGGTCTCATCCCAGCTGCCTGTACCCTCACACCGAATGCCAGGTCCCGAGTCCACCCTGGTTGTGAATGCACCTTTAATGGGCAATTACGAACAAAGAGGCTGGACCCACGTGGGTGAAGGGAAGCAGATGTGTGCAACTGTCGCTCGAAAACCACACTGGAGAGAGTCTCTTAGCTCCACCGCACACCAACAGCATTTGTCATGTTACCAGGCAACTCTGAGCAACAAATACTTGTGAGTCTGGGAAGAAGGGGTGAAAACCAGACTTTTTCTAAATATCCTCATCACTTTTCATAATAAGAGCCCATAGCCTAGTGCTTTTGCATCCTGGCCAGGCGCTCTGGAGTGAGACTGCCCAAGTACCAGCTTGTGATCGTGGGTCAAGTGATACTCTCTGAGCCTCAGTTTGCCTATCTCCAAAATGCGGAATACAGTAATTCTAATCTCTCAGAGGATTCAATGAGTTGACGGTGGTCAAGTTCTTAGTGCAGAGCCTGACAGATAATATGTGCTCAGCAACCACTACCTAAAATTGTTCCCCTATACTGTGAGTTTTCTTAGGAAACCCCTCATGAGGCAAATTCTTGAAAGGAAACCTCCCCTTGGAAACCACAGAGAGATCTTCAAACATACCTGCCACGCATAAGCTCCTGGGGGCTGTCAGTCGAGCTGCCAGTTACACACCTCCTCTGAGCCCACTTACCTACTGAGGTCTCCGGCCATGGGCATCCTGGCGGTGGGCTTTTCTTCCCGGCTCCCCTCATGTGAGCAGGTGTCCCGAGTGCAGAGTTGGGCTCTCAACCAGCAGGGCTGGCGCTGGGCTGCATTGCTTTGACCTGCTCTCTCTACCTGACGGTCCCCTCTTCTTTCCCAGTTCCCTTCCCAGCCTTTAGTCCTGGCAGAGGTTCCAGATTGTCCAGCTAGTCAGATCTAATCCATCTTTCCCATTGGCCTCTAGAGAAGTGAGACCCGCCCTCGTTCTTTCCAAAAGCTATGTCTTCTTCCCTTTGGCCAGCTCCTTAAATTGTCTCCATTCCCGTCACTGTGTAACCTTTCCCTGAAAGTCTCTTGGTGTCCAGACAGCTCTCTTGGCAGAGGCAGCGGCTGCTGAAGGGCCATCCTGCTACAGCTGAGTTCAGGGTCCTGTGCAGGTCCCCGTTTTTCATACTCAGAGTAGGTTTTAGCATGTTATGGCAGTCACCATCTAGCCATGGAAAGTTCCCACCACCTTCCATTTAAACATGTAAAATTCTTAAGAGTCCTCATGTTCTGGATGGACCTTGAGAGCATCATTATTAAGTGAAATAAGTCAGAGAAAGAGGGATGCTGTATGATAGCACTTGTATGTGGAATCTAGAAAAGCTGAACTCATAGAAACATAGTAGATCGATGGTTAGCACGGGCTGGAGGTGGGGAAATGGGGAGATGTTGGTCAAAGGGTGCAAACTTCCAGCTCTAAGATGAATAAGTTCTGGAGATGGAATGTACAGCATGGTGACTCTAGTTAACAATAGCGTATTGTGTACTTGAAAGTTGCTAAGAGAGTAGCTCTTAAATGTTCTCACCACCCCCACCACAAAATGGTAATTATGTGAGGTGAGGGATGTGTTAACTCACCTTATTGTGGGAAGCATTTCCCACTATATACGTATATCAAATCATCACATTGTACACCTTAAACTTACACAATGTTATATGTCAATTATATCTCAGAAAAGCTGGGAAGAAATATTCCTAATGTTCTTTTTTTTTTAAACAGCTTTATTGAAGTATAATTCACATACCATCCAATTCACCCATTTAAAGTATACAATTCAATGACTTTGAGTATATTTACAGACCTGTGCATCCATCAGAACTATCAATTTTAGAACATTTTCACTATCCCCCCAAAAAACCTTACCTAATAGGTATCATCGCTCAGTTCCCTACCTAGACTCCAACCCTAGGAAATGACTCATCTACTTTGTTCTATAGATTTATCTGTTCTGGCCATTTTATATAAATAGATCAATCATACACTGTGTGGCCTTTTGTGCCTGACTCCTTTGACTTGGAATGCTGAATTCCAGGTGCTTCCGTGGTGCAGCATGGGGCAGTAATCATTCTTTTTCATGGCTGGATAATATTCTCATGTATGAATATACCACATTTTGTTTATCCAGTTGTCAGTTGATAGTCATGTGGGTTGTTCCTTACGTTCTTTTCGACATATCAAGGCCCAGCTCGCTCTCTGAGATTGCCTTTCAATTCCCAGCCATTTTGTGAGGAGGAGAGGCATTCTTATCATTTTTATCACAGTCTCCAATTGTTTCCTGGTTTGCTTACGAATGCACTGCTGCTCAGACATTATGTTCTGAATGCTCATAATAAAATTAAAGGTTGGTTCTTTTTAAAAAAAAAAACTGTTTACAAGACCTGTCAGAAGAAATGATTCAGACTGTACAGTTTCTCTTTTCTCTTCTTTTTTTCTGTGTAAATATTTAGGCTTTAATAATTCCATCAGTCGAGATGAGTATTCAATTGGCTGAGTATAAAATAACGTTTTCCCTCAGGGAGAAAAATACTATGAACGAAAAGCAAAAACACCTTAAAATTTTAGCAGAGGAACACACCAGGCCAGCATGCTTTCTTTTTACTAGGAACTGACTCAGGGTCAGGTGGCACCAGTGACACCCTTACTTAACCCTTTCCTGCTGCGAGCTGATTTCTTCCTGGCATGTTGTCTACCTAGGTATGGTGCCGCCTCTGCAGAAATGCTGCCAATTCAGCCCAGATGGGTCTTGTAAGTTTCCCCAAATTTCTTTGAAGGTTTGTAAGCGGCTGCCAGCTTTGCTAGTGTTGGGTGTGAGAATGAGGTCAGGCGGAGTAAATTGGATTCGGTGGGTTAAATTGCAGGCCAGAGCGCCAGGATGCCGGCACTGGAATTGTCCAGCTTCGAGTCTAATGTGCTCGGGTTGGTGAGCTGCTTGTGTGCTGGTGCTGAGCGAAGTTTCGCCAGGATTTGCCTTATTGGGATTTCTAGTGCTGAATGGGGACCTTGTGTGTCCCTTCCTTAGATGCCTGCCCCGAGGAATTCCTCCTTGAAAATCTCAGTGGCTGGTGAATATGCCCTTCCCTCCTGACTGCTGGATAAATTCACTTGGGGGATTTGAGGATCCACGTGAGAAGGGCAAAGGCAAGTTCGCATGCCATGACGGAACAGGAGGGAAGCAAAGACGCGATCGACCTGTATTTTATAAACCAAACTGATCACAAAGGGAACATCAGAATTTAATTAAATTTCATCTGTATTGTATATTTGAAAGGTGCTGAGAGAGTAGATTTTAAAGTTCTCATCACAAGGAAAAAAGAATTTGTAATTACATGAGTTGATGGATGTTAACTAGACTTATTGTGGTGCTCATTTCACAATATAGACAAATTTCAGATCATTGTGTGTACACCTGACACTAATATAATGTTCTATGTCAGTTATATCTCAACTTTAAAAAATTTCATCTCTACTAAGAGGTTCTTTGATTCCTTCCCTCCAAATTTGTGTGGAAATGTGAAAAACCTTACGCTTTAGAATGAGTGGATCTTGGTGTTTCTTGGACAAATTAGTGCCCATCTCAGCTTATGCTTTTTTCTTTTTTTAAAGGTTGGCACCTGAGCTAACATCTGTGGCCAATCTTTTTTTTTCTTCGTCTTCTTCTCTGCAAAGCCCCCCAGTGCATAGGTGTATATTCTAGTTGTAGATCCTTCTAGTTCTTTTATGTGGGACACCACCTCAGCACGGCCTGATGAGCAGTGCTAGGTCCTCGCCCAGGATCCGAACCAGCGAAACCCTGGGCCGCCAAAGCGGAGTGTGCGAACTTAACCACTCAGCCACGGGGCCGGCCTCTAGCTTATATTATAAAGGATGATACCACCCACCTACAAGAGGGTTAGCGTGAGATCAAAAGAGAGCTTGTGTACAACATCCAGTACCCAGTAGGCACTCAATAGGAGCTAGTTTTAAAGCTCTTGTCCCCAAATGATTTTTTAACCTCATTCATACCCAAGTTTTAGGAGGAAGGGTTTGTAAGGAAACATTGCGTCCCTTTTCCCACAGGATGGTGCTCTTGGTCCTGTGTGCTTGAGGGAGATCCTCTTTGCTCCTTTGAGCACCTGGGACCCTGTAAGCGTTTGACAGATATTTGCTAATGTTCCAATTTAATAAACCTGAAGAACAGTACGGCCTTTACTATGATGTCCATTCTCCCAAAGGGGCGCGAAAACTTGTGCAATGATTATTGGTTTTCGTTTACATCCAAATGTAACTGGAGCCGTAAACTGAAGAGCCAGAAGTAGATACCAGCCACTTAACTGTACTGTATGGGTGCCGTAAATATCCAAGTAGACAGTTCGTTTTTCCTCCAGTGGCTTTCTTGGCAGAAAATTAAAAAGAAAAAATGGCTACATGATTTAAGAAAACATTATGGTGTTTGGTGATAATAACTTACTTTTCTATAATGCTTTCCAGCTTGCAGAATGCTTTCCCATTATTATTTCACTGAATTCTCACAAGTCCCAGAGGTAGGTAAGACAATACTGTATTATGGCTAAGGAAATGCTTCCTCCAGGACTTACGTACCATGTGGCTGTGTGTGTTATTTAAACGCTCCAAGCTTATTTTCCTCAGTTTTAAAATGAGAGTTTAATAATCCCATCCTCTTAGGATTGCTGTACAGATTATGTGAGATAATGCATGAACGATGCCAGCTCCCACAGTAAGTGCTTAATAAATGGCAACTGTTATTAGATTATTAGGTATAATAGTCCTCGCTTCACAGATGAGGACACTAAAAATGACGATTTGCCGAAGACTATGCCATTAGTGATTGGCAGAATTGGAATGCAAATCTAATTCTTCTGCCTCCAACTTTATTCCTCTTTCCAGCGCACCTTAGCCAAGACGTGTAAATCAGGAAGATTTTGGTGCTTCTGCTGGCAAACTTCCCCACTGTAATGAACCTCTTAGTCAGTTTCTTGGGTGCACTCATCTTTTCCATGTCTCCTTTTGTGTTCACAGAACATCATCAAAAAGGTGATTGGGCAGAAGTTTGTGTACAAGTTTGTCTCTTTCCCGGAAATACTGAAAATGGACCCTCACGCGGTGGAGATCAGCCGGGAGAGCCTTCTGCTGCAGGACAGCGACTGCAAGGCGCCTCCCGAGGGCCGAGAGGCGCACAGACACGGCTTGTCAGCCCTCAAAAGCACAAGCCGCAACGAATACATCCACTCAGGCCTCTACTCGTCCTTCACCATTAACTCTCTGCAGAACCCGCCAGAATCCTTCAAGGCAATCAAGACGGAGAAGCTGGAGGAGCAGCCGGAAGACAGCCCTCCCGTGGAAGAAGTCAGGACTGTCATCAGGTTTGTGACCAATAAAACCGACCAGCACATCAGCAGGCCCGTGGTGTCGCTGCCCTCCACGTCTGAGGCCTTCCTGTCCTCGTCCGTCTCAGCCAAGATCTCCTCTTTAATGCTGCCAAACGCCGCCAGCATTTCGTCCTCTTCGCCCTCCTCATCTCGGTCCCCGTCCCTGTCCCCCAACTCGCCTGTCCCTTCTGAACACAGAAGCCTCTTCCTGGAGGCCGCCTGCCATGACTCGGATTCCCTAGAGCCCTTGAACCTGTCATCGGGCTCCAAGACCAGGTCTCCATCTCTTCCCCCAAAGGCCAAAAAACCCAAAGGCTTGGAAATCTCCGCGCCCCCGCTGGTGCTCTCCGGCACCGATATTGGCTCCATCGCCCTCAACAGCCCAGCCCTTCCCTCCGGATCCCTCACCCCAGCCTTCTTCACCGCGCAGGTAAGAGCCGTCCCGGTCGTCCTGGCCGCACCCAGACTCACTGGCTTAGCAGAAAGGAAGAAAGAGCAAACAAAGCAACTTCCTTCTGCCCTTCAGAAGATAATCCTGGGGCCCGTGTACCAAAGTCACTGTGTCAATGTGAAGGGAAATGACTTTTCTATCCCCAGACCAGGGCATCCACAAGAGGACAGGCTTGGGATACTGGCTACAGTGGGAGGCTTGATGGGTTTCTTGTTTTTAGTGGCCTAAAGTGATCATCAGATGGACCGTGCACACTGGCTGTCAGAGCAGATCTAAGCCATGATTTCCCAGGGAACGTTGAGCAGGCCGCTGACATTTCAGAAGGCATTTGGGCTTTATGAAATGTTTACGGCAGAGTCCTCTCTAGGGGGCACTTGATGAGTAGCCGTTTTCTGTTAATAAGAAAATAGATGGTAACTGATATGGCCATTGCCCTGGTCTGGGGTGTGGAGCTGTGTTGGCCTGTAGTCTCATGAGAAATGAAAAGGCCACAGCAAACGGTGGAAAGAGATCGTTCAGTAAGAGCAGTGCTACTCTGAGAAAACCCAGGTCCACGTCACAGGAGAGGAATGCAAACTTGTGGAGCAAGGATTGTTAGTTAATTCCA